AAAAAAAAAAAAAAAAAAAAAAAATGTACGTGGGACAGAAAAAAGCATTGGATGATAGGTCTATTCTATACCTAGTCGGTGATGGTACATAGTATATATAGAGCGAGCATGAACTGAACTGTGGAGTAAGATTCGCGGAAAGGGGGTGGTTAGTTATAAATCGGGTACCTTCGTTCCTTTTCTGTGCTATTCGGGTATACAATCACGTTACATACATGTATGCTATGAGAGATGAAAAGAAGATACTTATTATACGTTAAAAATTCCGTACGTCATGTAGTTTGCATAGATATATGTATTTAACAAAATTAAGAAATAGTATAAAACATTAAATAATAGTACGGCACACAGCCCACCAGACATTAATAACGAGCCGAATCGAGCCGAATGCATACGCAGCTAACCGACGTATATCTAACGACCGCTGTCTTTTCCCCTCTAATCTTACGATCCCCTCGCCCACAGTGGTAGCTTATGCTCCGTCTATACAGGGTGTAACAAAAATGTTGTCCGACCCGGAAATGGGGCACTCGGGGGGTGAATTGGAACAAGTTTTTCCTTAGCAACAATCTAATCTGAGGCTTCGTTACGGAGATATTAACGAAAGACCCCGACCAATCAAAGCGCGAGTTTGCCAGCTGAGTTCCCGCGGTAACGCTGCCTACTGTTGCGGTCTTTTCCAGGGATTTCTTTTAAAAAGAGATAAATCAGGCGTAAATCCTCGCCCGTGGAGCCCTGAGGAACTCTGTTCATTAGGAAATTTTAGACTTCTTTTAAAGTAGACAACTTTAATTTGAAGAACACGTCTGTATTTATCGAGGGTCAATACTAGAATGGTCTCCTTTACAAAACGATCGTTTTTGTTACATCTTGTTAATTACAATATGTCCTTAGATACCAGGAGCCAATAAAATAATTATTAAATTATGAAATAATTCCTGATTTGTTAATACATTTCTTTCAGCTATTCATTTTATAATTTTCAAGTGTTTAACATATTTGCCATGATTTAATATATTTTAGAGAAGGAGTAAAAGCGAAATTCGACTGTTAAAATATTCATCCCTAAGCAAATATTAATTAATTGAAATATGCATTTTAAAAGAATGCAAAGCTGATTTCAGTTGCTCTTAAATAATGTCAACTTCACTTCTATCTCCTTTTCTAATTACTTTAATTTGAATTTCACGCTTGTGAAGCTTACGCTAGACGCCGCTACAAGATGAGGGCGAGATTCACACACTACCACTCGCAGTGCGTAGCCAGTGGTATACGACCGTGCTGCTGGCTGCAGCTGTAGGAGAATCCCCCACAAAACAGCCCATTAGAAAGAGAGGCAGCTAATCCAGTTATTGCCCTCTCTTTCTGTGTCGACTTCAGTCCTCCCATAAGACGCGCAATCTATTGTACATATCTATGGATTATAAGAACAATGTGGCGGGAAAATGAAGTTTAGTATCATTTAATATAGGTTAGAGTAGTTCTCAACAACCGTGAACTTTTTGTGGGTAATGAACTATTATTTATGAAGTTACATATCAAAAATGATACTGAAAGAATACGTTAACTTAGTAACTTGGAAACAATTTAAAGCTTTGATACAGCAACAAATTAAAGAAAATACTAAAGGACTTTTTATCGTTATATACACCTTTAAATCTTGCGTTTTTGGTTATTCTATATAGTAGGGCTTAAACTTTTTCCACTCTGACCTGTTTTCGCCCGTGAAAAAGTTTTCGTTGCTGAAGCTGTTACAACTATACGAACAAAATGAAGAATGAAGAAAGTAATATTTGTGTAAAATATTTACAAGAACTAAAAGGTATGTAAACAAGTAACGAATTCTTGATTAATATGTCGTTGAATTTTAAGGTTGAGATCAATTTTCTGGTATATTATATACTTTTAATATATCTCTACTGATCAATATTTTTTGTTTCATTAAATTTAATAGTATTTCTTTTACAGACGAAGGAAAAGCCTTTTCTAAGCTCGAAGAATTGTTCACTGTATTGCAGAGATATGTAGCATCAAACGGTTTGGAAGATGATGATATTGATTTATTAGCAGATATTATTATAAATAGTAACTTAGGTTCGTATATTTTAAGTATACATCATGGTACTAACTGTGTCCACCTAAGGTACTTCTACCTCATTCATTAATTCATAAAGTGAAGAGGTACAAATTTCTATATCTTCACTAATAATATTTAGCAGTGCAGTGATAATATAGCATTGAAAAAAATAAAAAGGGAAACTGTTATATAAAAATTAGATTGTATAAATTTTGTAGTTAAACTAGTATTTTTTATTACAGGTGTACAAATGAGTAATTTATTATTTTCTGTTAAATTAAGTGTCTATTTTTATGAAAACTGGACACTTAGACTGTTCGAATAATATTTGTTCTTATTCTTCACTATTTCACTAAGGAAAAAGTCAAAAATAGATATTGTACTTATATTTTACTTTTTTGTTAACTAAGTAATAGTCAAAATTTGCTTTGTATTTATCATTCAGAGGAAACTGCACATGAACTTATTCTGGTACTTAATAATACAGGTGGATAAAGTTAGTGGAATACTTTGTATAAAATTAAGCAATATCATCTTATTAAATGAAGAAATTAAAAAAAACATTTAACAGGTGCCCAGAAATTGGTAACTTTAGTAAAATGTTTAGTTCCAAGATATAAAATACCTGAACGGACATTTAAATTAATTACCGCCTGGTGTTTATCATCCGTGAATACGATACCATTTATTGTATCTACTAGTATTTTGCAATGGATAGTTGGTAATGCTATGTTTATTATATAAAGATATTTACCATATAAAAAAGTGAAGATTAAAATCGTGTACATAATTTTAGGTTTATGGGATCATCAACTACTAGAAAGAAAAACTCTAAACATATTCTATACCGTTTTCTTTTTTGTAATGCTGAAGAAAACAAGTTTGGTATTACTATTTTCTATATTTCTGAAGCTTGTAAAATGAATTGTGAATTATGTAATTTTATTTCAGGAGAAGCATATAGCACGTCTCATTTATATATTAGCTAAACCTGAAGATGTAACGCGTAGGGATGTGTCCCGCTTAATTACTTTACAACAGAAATATTCTAAACCCCAAAAACATATCACTGTATTACTATCGTAAGTAATCATGATTTAAATGGTTTAATTTTAAACACCTTACCAATATACCTACATAAAATATATTTTAGATTATTCAAATCGTATAAACCTGAACTAGTACCTGAAAAAATTGAGTCTGTAAATATAGAAAGTGTATGGAAACCAATCCCAGAGGAATTGCAAAAAATGTTTCAAAATGCTAGAGTTCGCTTCGAAAATCAGGAAATCAAAGACTTACATTCTAAATCATTTAATTGGAATACATTAGAGGTACGTGTTTGATAAATACAACATTCATATAAATATATTCTAACAGTACATATGTATTTTCGTAACATATGTCGACAGCATGGAAGAACAAAAAAATCCATGACACCACTGTTACCATCCGTAAGATATTTTCAAATTGGCTCTAGTAAACACAAAGAAAAGGATTCAACATCTATCTTTGATATTTCCAGGTAAGTAATTAATGTGTGTGTTACAAATTATGAAGAACTGAAAACTGTTCATACAATTTCATAATAAAAACAATCATAACATTCATCAAACATAATTGAGGCCATTGATGGAAAAAGTGCACATTGGCTTATACGCCCTCTTTTCGTAGATCGCCTAAATCGATGCAGACATAACATGCAAAGGACATGATTTTAAAGATTCGCACAACGTTGTACAGTAGTTCGCCCAACAGTCACTCGCTCAGCGGTGGTGCTGTCGTACAGTATTTGTTTTTGTTCTTGAAAGAGGCTTTTGTGTAAATTGATGAATATATCTATTTACCTCTATATGTATAACTCATTGGAGTTGCAAGTTTATAGAATAAGACCTTCGTAAAAAAATTAAATTTTTTGTTTATTTTTCTATTTAATTTCGTAGTTTTCATATCAAAAATATATTAAAAAATTGTAAACTTAATACATAAGTAATTATATTTAATTAGGTATATAAACAAAAGAAAACATTTTTTATAGTTTTACGCCATTTACAGAAAAAAGGCATATAAACTAATTTTTTTAAACTCGTAAAAAGGACAAATATCTTCAAATCATGACGTCTGTTTTCAGAACGTTGAAAGGTCATGTTATTACGTCACTAAAAAAATTTTATTATAATGAAAACTTTAAAGTCAATTTTCTCGAAATAGCGTTTTGGCATATGTGCCCTTTTTTCCATCAATGGCCTCAATCGTACACAACCACATAAAAGTGTTTAATTTTTTCGCGATTTTTAAAGCTCTTTAAGCTTTTAAATTTCATTAACAATAAAATCTTGAATATGAGTATGAAAGAAGTGTACTCACAAGGTAGAATCAAGAAGACTGCAGATATTTAGAATATAAATTGAAATTTTCACAGGCTACTTTATAAAATCCAAAATCAGGATAAGATTTATTTCATTTATTAATGAATTTGTTGCGTTCAGAATGACATAAACGTAACTAATCTTGATTAAATTTTTGTTGTCTTATTGTATTTTATACATTTACATTTTCCACACATACATAATATACAGAGTCTAGAGTTGAAAGGTAAAAACACTAGACATTTGATAGAGTAACCTTTCTATTCTTTTGAATTTGGCATTGAGTGAAAACAAATTTATTTTAGTGCCTAATATTCACTGTATAATGCTTTCTATGTTATGAAATGTTTTAGTATAGAGGAACTAGGAAAATCGCATTTCAGTGTAGAATTGCCATGTAATGCAATATCGCTCTTAGCTAATACCGCTGGATATCATCTTCTTACATTTGCTGATTTTCATTATCAGAGTAGATTCTGTTATAATCTCTATAATACTTTAATAAGAGGTATGCATTATTCTCCAAAATTTCTTTGTGCTTTATGAAATAAAATTTAGTTTAATGTTATTGTTGTTTTAGCATTTATTTTAGAGGACGAGAAATTTTCCGATGAAGAAATTAATAAATTGCTTGATATGACCGCGGAATTTTCACGTTACATGCAACAAGGTATACCCGTTGTAAATCATTTCCTGAATGAGTACCTTTATTTTAATACAGGAGAATATCAGTCAAAGTTGCTGGCCTTACTACAGTGGGTGACACCAACATCTGTTAGCGGTATGTTCTTAACAAAACAAACACCACTCGTCTTATGTTTACCTGTGCTATAATATTATAATGCTTACAGATTTACAAGAAAATGTGTTAGTGCATGTGCAAAACATCTACTATGAATCTTCACTAATTACAAAATGTGAAATTATTAGAACATTGAGGATATTGATCACGAATTTGGTATGTAACATAGTAGATTACAGAATGGTATTTACCTTTGGCATTTTAACTATCACCGCTGTTTTTAGAAGAATAAACTGATGTAGAACCAGAATTTTAACCAACATTTTTAACTATTCAAAGCAATTCTGATTAAACGTTCTATTTAATAAAGGTTTTACAATCGTGAATGGTTGAGCATCGCTTGGTTGTTACGCCTTACCTACCTCTTACGCCGACTTACGGCAGTGCGCGATGCAGATAACTATTATACGTATAGTTTCATTTTTAACCATTACAGGATCAAAAAGTGCACCATCTGTTTAATTATATGCATTAAGAAAACATCAAACATAGTAACTTTTTTAATAATACGGAAATGAAAATTCTAGTTTATCCGTATTTCATATTTGAGTATATAGTTTTCATGTACAAATGTACAAGAAAATAGATTAACATATAACCAGGAAAATTAACAAAAAGTGCTATTTTTTAAATGTATTGTTTAAACAAATGAATTACTCTGGAATCCAATCATATAGCTGGATTCCTTATCAAAAAACTTTTTATATCTCTAATAGTTTCAGAGATATTCGACCGAGCACAGTTCACACCCCTAACTTCGCGGGCTGTTTTCACCCCTTTGACGTGGATAAGAGTAGCTAAAAAAAATATGTGTCAAATATTTTTATGAAAATCGGCGATTGTCAATTCGGGATGTTCCCTTGTTAGTAAGAATCTAATTCTTTTTATACACAGTACTGTGCAGTACGGTTTGATAAATTTAGTGACTTATACCTTATGATTGGTTGAATTGTTTTATCAACCATAATATGCACCCCTCTAAACAAAATAATACTACCCAACTCTTTTCATCCTACTTCTAAAAAGAATGGCAACATTTTAGGTGTAAAAGGTCGACGTAATGCCCTGTATAATTATTGCCTGTTTATTTCATCTGTTGTTAATTAAAATAGTGTTCTGTATAAAATAAATTACTCTTATCGAAGAAAGGAATCATATTAATAATTAATAACTACATCATTGTTTATTGTAGTTCATGGTCTCACAGAATTCTCGAAAGATCTTATCATATGCGGTTTAAACATTCACGTTTACGACACTTTATTGCTTTCAGAAGCACTCTCATTTTATGAGGAGGTATGTAATAAAATCGAGCATTAATATAAATAACAATGGCTTCATGTATTAGTACTATACAAAGTAAAGCAAAATATGTTTCTTATACTTCCTGTTTTAATACCAAACACTCAGATTTGTAGTTTGGAAGATCGAAGTACTATATTATCATTCACATTGGCACCACCAGCAGTAATATATGGAGGTTTCCTTACAACAAGCTGTGCAATTTTATCAAGGACCTGTAACTTATTATTAAAGTATGGATTTTATGAATATCTCGTTTTATTTTACAAATTTTGTTCATTAACTTAAAACTCTGATGCAGATATCGTGAAATGAGTCTAGATTTCAGACAACGCAAACTAGTACATAAGCAAAGCTTACAGAAAAAGAATATTGATATATCTTTTTACTGTCAAGATATCATTGATGCGTTATGGTACGATAAGGTATGTCAGTACAATAGTAAGTTAAGCAATGAAATGATTTCATATACATTTCAAAATTTATGAAGATTTTTCTTATTACATTTCACATTTATGTCTTAAGTTCAATCATTTTTAGCCATTTACGAAACGACAGAACAAATATTTGTTTAGCAGCATCCCAAACAAAGTACTGAACGATTTAGAATATTGTGATTTAAATCACCTGTTAAATATTAATAATCATTATGCCATTCTACCTTATAAATGCGTCTTAAACAACGCAGGACTCGATATAACCACAAAAGAGGTGAATTGATTCGTTTCTACATGTATTAATGTTTAATGAATAATATAAGGGAAAATTTGTATATTTCGAGATTTTTATCGATAACTTAAAAAATTACTCTTCTTTGCAGGAAGCTAGGTGCATATCTTTACATTACTATCCAATAGTAAATGAATTTCTTGATATGTTTGAAGCGTAACAACTGTAAACTGTAGTAACAGATATATAAGTTTATGCATATTTTTCTATTGTTATACATAGACGTAAGGAATATTTGTTGCTGAAATGCAATAATTTGTCAATTTTATTGAAATACAATAAATAATTTGTAGTGTATGAATATATATATATATATATTCACAAAATAATATTATATTATATATATTAATTACAATAGATTTACAGTAAAAAAATGCCTAAGCGCACAGACATATTTTTGTATAAAACGTGTCAAAATATTATTTTGTTTCAGTTATGTTTTATTTTGAGTAATTTCACGATTTAAAGAAGGTATGAATTATATCCCACCATGTGAATTGGGTATAAAAAAAAGTTGGGACATTTTTCATAGCCACCGTGCTTCAAAGAGTTAAATAATAAAATATATTTTAATTCAATACATTTATGATCATTTAAAGCCATGGATAATGTATGTTCATTCGGATTAAAATCGTTACATTTTATTTTTCTCCGATTTACATACAAATTTCCATTTACAATTCATTTAACAGTCTTCAATACATATTTAAGACCTAACAAAAAGTTACATATAAATTATTATGAATACCTTGGGCTTATACCGTATAAACTATATATTTGGTTTTTTTTTTACACATTTTTCAGTTCATTTTAATGACTTCATGCATTAAGTAGTTTAATTCATTGGACACGTTGCAGTAGATTGAAAAATGACCAATTGCTTTTCCTGTTTCCTTTATATTTCTTAAAAATAATGATTGTATAATATACCATACTGTAAGACTGTTTCAAGATAGCGAGTGTGAACATCTGTTGACTTGAAAATTTACAATATCCCATTGAAAGTACCTAAATACACATTGCTCCTAGAAGAGGCCACACTATTAATGCAATATTTTCTATATACTAAGCACATCTTACAACTACCATATTCTACCATAATGTAGCGTATATAATATCATTATTGTTGTATTAAAGACAGCAAACTAATTAGTCATAAATAAAGTGAAAACAATGTGTTTTGTACAAAAAAAAATTGAATGAAAACTAAAAGTTAGTCATAGTTTTGCTAAACAACTGTCTTTCATAAAAACAGGCATGATTGTTGTATTCTGAAAAAATTATTACATGCATAGTTCAACAATTCGACCACACCATGTACCATATGAATTATTAGATTCTGTTGAAATATAAAATTGATGCATAAAGGATATTATAAATATAAACGTAAACAATATACATACTATTATTATTTAATCGATATGATGCAATACTTAACGTACTTCTCTACATTCTCTTTTCCTTTGTTATGTACTATAGTTATGTAATAGTTTGTTTATGTTATCATATTCATAAGAAACAATTTAATGGTAAAAGAAGAAGTCTTTAGGTGCACAATTAATGTCGAGAAGTTAGTCAGTTTATTAATTATACATTCTTTGTTTGTTCAGTAAATCATAACATGTAATTATGTTTCATTTTCGTAGATCATCGGAGTCTATAAAATTCTGCTTAATATTGTAACACTTGTACCACCTAAAAATTTGTATAGATGTAAGAAATACACCTAATTATTTATATACACATAAATATGCCTATCAATGAGATATTACACTAAGAAATAAATTTATTTTTATAATTACATTGAAGACTAATCGCGATTCTGAACAAGTTTAAAATCGAATACTTCCTTTAAGAACTTTATAAGCACTGTTTAGTATCGCATTGTAAAATTCAATCAATCTTGAGCAATGCATTCATGTTACCTATACTATTTTAAATTGTAACATGCTTTTATAAAACTGTCTTTGGTGTACGCATATTTTCAGACTAGAAAATGGTACAAGGCCTGGAATGTGAAATTCTATTTAGAAGCATGAAATTTAATGAATTCAATAAATATATACGTTATTTTGTTAACAGCTTCGATTAATTTTGTTTTCTTTTTTTACTGGGATAATTGTAGAAATTCAACCGAAGTGAATAGCACGCGCGATACAAAGCGAATTTGATTTCTCTAATTAGAGACAAACTGCAAGACATATAAAAAAAGACATTAAAAATATATATAAAGATGAAAAGAAACGAGGCTTTTGTTCTATTACTTGATGCTTACATTCAATCGAGATAGGTACAGATATAAGGGTCAACATTAAATTATAAGGACAGTGGATAAATTGTAAATTGTTATTAAGAAAAATTCATTGCATAAACAAAAGATATCATATCACGAAACTATAATGGTACGATTTTATTGTCATGAATTTGAAAAATCATTGAAACCAATGAATTCAAATGAACTATTGAAGAAATGTACAAAGTATGTAGCATTAGTTATAGTCTGACTGGCAGTTATGCATACAATCATAATAAACAGTTGCTTTTTTCCAACTTAATCTAAATTACACATAATACTAAGTTCATTGCAGTTCCACGTTGACACCAAGTTGAATTTGAATACAAATTTATCAGTAGGTAGTTCTTTTCCCAGACTTTTAATATATAGCATTCGAATAAGGCATGCTTTGCAAACACTTGTTTAAAAAAAACATAATTAGTGTAACAATACCATAACTCCTTTTATTTTTCATGTTAATAATTTTACTTAACAAAACCAGTAAAGCTGGCATTACAATGACAGGAAAACCTGTAAAGGAACGTATGTGTATAGAAATAATCTGTTTATTTAAAAGACCAAATAAGGTAACTACCTAAACATTATATGTGATTCCTAATAGTGACTACGTTAGCCTTCATTTAATATAAAAAGTAACCGTTTCTGTACTTCATGCATACAATCGCGCAGCGATAATACTTAGTAAAATAATTTATTTAGTTGAAAGTTACTATCGCAATGTCCACTTTCTGTGACATAGTAACACAATGAAAAAACATTACTTATGATATTTGAAAAGAACAGTGTGCGTCATCGTTGCTTAGAATCAGTATAGTATTTTTTATTTATTATTCTTTTTATTGGAAACAAATTGGTTTACAAAAGATTATTATATTACTAACAGTTTCCTTAATTAAATTTTCCATTTCAATGTGAAATTCAATTCATAAATGGAATTATGCAAACCAGTGTATTTCATAAACATTACTTTAAAAGAGTTCTTGTTTTCCCAATAGACTGTAAGAAATAGTCATGTATACGTTTTCGTATCAATGAACAATTTCGACAATATTTAAATCTTTTATTCTAAAATGATGTACCTATTATTTGCCCGAAGAAAATAATAAAATAATTTATAAATATTAAAAATTATTAATTTCCTGTAAGATTTATTTGAGTAATTTTTCTTTGCTAAACTTAAGATCAATGATATTTCATTCTAAATTTTTAATATGCATGGAACATAATTACAGAAGCATATTGTGTATTATGTATTGTGTAAAGTTTCTAACCATTTTGAAACAGTTCTATAGAGAAAAAACTTGGATAAATACAATCGAATAAGTTTTATATCATTATGCAATAATTTTCGCATTACTTCAAAGTAGTGTGATCTTTATTTTTGTGTTTATGTTGGTCAAAAAGTGTTTGTTCAAGCTCAAGTCTTATTAATTCCTGCAGTGTATACATTTAGGGCAGTGACTACAGCTTCTTTGTAAAAAAGTCATTTAGTATACAAACAATAAATCGTGAGAAATTATGAAAAATTCAACTAAGCTGAATGTACGAATATTATCTTGTATGGCACGAGGTACAGATTAATCTTTACTGTATTATATTGAAAAGTATTGCCAATATTTCTTCACACACACATACTTGTGATACGAAAAAGGGATCATAAATAGCATATATTATTAGTAACAATTATAACGTACCCTTTTTTGCTTGGTAATTTTTAAGAAATATGCAACCAACCGTGTACCAGTGTAGCTGCTTAACTCGTTTTATTTACAAGTATGTCTTACGTAAATCCATACTACTGTACTTAAATAATAAAAAATTGTCGAAAAATGATTCTTCTTACATTATGAGTTTGTATAAAATTTTGTTTCATATATTCGCAATTTTTTCCATCAAACAGAACTTAAAAATAACCGTAATATCAGTCAAGCTTCTCATATTTAAGACATATTAGATTTAAATCGGTGAATACTTCAATAACGTCAATAACAACAGAAAAATTATTACTATAATATTGTTTCACAAACTATGATATACAATGGAGTCGGAGATGACATGATTCAAATGCACTTATCGTCATGAGGATACTGCAAGTGACAAATAAATAGATAAGACCTTATACGTAGATGATTAATATAGGAAACGATAGATAATATGTTACTGTATTTTACGATATTCTCTAGACTTCTGTTGTAACTCCTCGAAAATAGAACTGAAATATAGTTTTATGAAAAACTTACGACTCATTTCAAGGAGTTTCTACACTTTCAACAACAAAAACGAGATATTTAACTGACAAGTTATTCTAAACTAGAATTTGTTTCTGTATGAAAATATAACTATAAATAATGAAGCCAAAACTTAGGACACTGTAATCAGGCCTGCGTAATTTTTAGATAATTAATTAGTAAATTTAATATCAATTATATATATCTTCTATTGTGTTTCTTAAAAACAGCCCGTAATTTTTTAAACGAAAACATTTAATTATACTAGCGAGCATGTATCATTAAATTGAGAAGAACATTAAATTTTAAATTACTTGCATTGTTTCAAAGAAAAATGATTTTTCTGTACATAATATGAAACTTAAAATGATTGTGAAATATCTTCATTGTAGTAGAAAAGCTAATAATTATAATGAACAAAATTTTCAGCTTCTTAGATGCCACTTTGATCACTGCCTCAAATTTTGAACATCCATCTTTGGCACAGTATGTTAATTAAGCAAAAGTAGATTACATCTATGAGTAGAAAGAAGTAGCACAAAGGACAGCACGAATATACACGCTTTTGATTGCCGCCACAATACTTCCGTACATAATCATGTCGCTTACACATAATCAGAAACTTTTGAAGCGTGTATTACTTCCTTGTCTAAATTATAGAGGAGTATACTTACAAACAAGTCCACCTTAGAACTGTTTTTCATCGCTTAAACGTACTAAGTTTTGTCAGAAAAAAAAGAAAAGAAAATGAAAAAGACAATTGAAACAAACATTTGAAAACTGTTTGCCAAATAAAACGATTATGTGTATAACATTGTGTGTAACATATTTAATATTTATATGTACATAGATGCATATATGCATAGACGAATATATCTATGTACATATACATACTATTAATGAAAGTGTATTATGATGATATTGTTCCAACAGTGGAATTCAGTTCCATTTGATATTAATGTAATCGTAATTAATACACGCATACGTGCATATTTGTTTCTGACACTCACACATTGTCCCTTCACTAAGAGAAAATGAATGCTTCACTTCACTCTTTACGATAACACTTTTGTACACGGAGAAGTGCGTATCTATTTTTCAAAGAACAAGATATAACAGTTCCACAATTAACAGAAGAGCAGCAAAAGAAACAGATCAGTCCCAGCTGGCATCACTCTCAGCCTCTTCAGCCTCCTCCTCATCCGAAAACATGGTTTCATATACATAATCTGAATCATGTAGGAACTCATTGTGATTTCTTTTACTTAGTCCCGTTCTACGCTTCTTTGTTGTCAAGGCAAGTTCATCTTCTGGAGTTCTTTCTTTACGGAACTCATAGACTAGTGGATAAATGTATTCAATTGCTGCTTGAACAGCAGCAACATTAGGAGCTGTAATGTCAGTTTTATTTGGTAAAACGACATGATCAAGTTTGGAGACGAACAGAAAATTAACTAATCAGACTTAATTCTGTTTTTACATAATTTTGATCTAACACAATCCGATGCTTGTGCCTTTTTAAAACCTGCCTATTGTTCTACGAAATTGGTGGTCTCGATTAAAAAAACATTCTTAATTGATTTATCATATTATTTTTACTGGTTTTATGGTTTAGGGAACATTTTTAATTGTTTCATGTGTACAGTATCTTTTTTGCAAGTGCTTTTACACAAATTTCTCAGGAACATATCTATTGTGTAAAAACAGAGTTAAGTATACTCAAAATGATAGAAGCTTGTACTTTTTACTTTTAGAATATAGTTAATGCAAGTTTCAACTGAATAGTAATACAAACCAGTCACAGTAACACTGCCCGTAGAAAATATCTTCAAAGTGGCTTTTGGTTCTTTTAACTTATATGTAACACCAGGATGCAATTCTGGTTCATAACTGTACATGAAGAACATGGTTAATAAATAGTTATGAATTGGAATGCAATATTATAAACAAACATGAACAATAAAAATATCTTTTCTAATACTTAAGAAATTACGTATACTCACTCTGCATTTTCCTTGTGATATAAAGAGAATGATGTTATCTTGATTGCAAATGGCATACAACATGTACCTAACACATTGACCACCCTATAATTATTAAATCGCACTTTGAATCCAAGCTTCTGAAGTGAACGAGCAAATCGTCTTGCTGCTATCTTTGCTTGAACTTCGCTTGTTGCACCAGTACACGTTACTTTACCAGAAGACCATATAGAAGCAGTAGTGTAAGGTCTCCTTAATTTCATTGTTATCATCTACAACAGTACACACAGATACAGAGAATATTATTTATAACTACTAATTAATATTAACAACCACTGTTTATTAGAAAAATAGATGACTTTATCAAAATTTATAAATAACAGTTTTATCTTCGGCTATCAATATTCGAAATATGTAATTACAAAGCAACAGTATTACTCAAAATATATTAAGCAAAATAGATTATACGCTACAAAAAAATCAGTGCTCCCATATTTTAATTCAATCCAGTGCATGAATTTAAATTTTTGTAATTTTCTACACAAAAAAAAACTGAAAGTTTTAAATAAAAAATACACCAGACTTACATTACTAGAATATACATACATTTATTTCAGAACAATACTTTGCTAAACATATTATATAAATACTTTGTTATAAGGAAACAAAACTGCTTCAGAACATACCCCATTCTCTCTTCTGTACTCCACATTGGAACCATTAAGTGCAATTTCTCGTAAATTTAAATGACACCTGACACTGAAGCTGCAGACTACATTATTAATAACAATATCCAGTTCACGGGGTTCTTGTTCAGGAGGATCGACGTAAGGTTGGATTTGTCCATCAAACAACCTTTCATCTTTCTCTTCTTTACATATACCTGTATTATCTAAGTTATTTACACCTTCTACATGATTTATCTTATTCGTTAAAGGTTTCATGCCATTCTTTTGAATAGCAGTTGCCATAATATACACCTGGAAACATAAAGTAACGCTTTTACCATTTTTACATAAGACTAAAACAAAAAGTTTTAACTTATTCATTAACTTAAGAATTTATTAATATTATTTTTGCATTTTCTGATCATAAGTATGTATTCAGTATTTTACAGAAACTCATCTTTTTCTAGATTAGTTAGGCAATATTTTGTCTACTTTTCTAATAGTTAATTAATCATTACTTATATTCATTTATTAGTTATATATGAAGTAAACAAATGGAAGTAAAGGTTACTTTTTAATTTTCTCAACCTGCTAAAACTTGTGAACTCAAGTATAATATCTGTATATTTATACTAATTGAATTTTGAACTTAACTGCCTGCATCCTTTTCATCACAGATTCCAACAGATTGTAGTTTTCTTTAAGAGGAATACCCTGTTGTTTTCAAGTTACTATTTCAAATAATTTGCTTGGGTATTTAAATTTCTCAGTTTTGTAGTTTTGTTTTCAATAATTCCAAAAGTCTTAGACTTAAATTTTCAATTTGGGATGGATATTCCAATATAGAAATTTTCTTGTGTATTACCCAATTATATGTTCATTTATAAGTGCTACTTATAATCACATGTTGGAAGCACATTTAAGGGTGATATCATACTGGAAAATTCAATTATTTACCACATTCTATAATCCATGTGGTAGCACTTGTGTCTTTAAAGTATTGATATAATTATTCTTATTCGTCCTTCCATTTAAAAATACAGCGATTAAGAAAACAATCTTAAACCATTATATTTCCTTTTCGATAATAATAACAAACAGAAAAAAATGTTACTGTACTATATTGTAAATACTACTTTGATTAAAAGAAATACTGGTGTATTATAAATAACTATTTTATGCAAAAATCTATTTCTTATATTGTTACACAAATAATTTCCCTCGCTTATTGTATCAATAGACCTTCATTCCACAATAATAATTTATTATTGAGTAACCTACACAATAATTAACAGTTCATTAAACAATCTTTTTTCTGTTATTATTTCTTGTATAACAATATTCCGATTGCTTGTTAGTTGCATTAAGAAGTAAAAAAACTTGAAAACCTCTATAAAAAAATGGTATTTGAAAAGTGGTATTGTTAGTGGAAAACGATAATTTAAATGTCGTGTGCCGCCGTGTAACAATAAAAAAGTACATGATAATTGGTATTAAAATTTTGTACGACACACATTACCGTAACATAATCATTGAAATTATTCGATATACACTTAGTACGTTAAACAGAAAAACTGCCGCTCGGTCGATACGATTAGTTTAAACAAATAAGGAGCTTACGATGTAAATCAAACAGTAAGTAATATTCTTGAAAATAGATTCGAAGCTAATGCATCGTGGAAACACGAAAATGTTTTGAATAGATTATAATTCGTAAAAGTCTTCTTATATAAAACGAAGATCGTGGAGAAACATTTTTTCAACGCATTTAAAATAAATCCGGAATGTTCTCTGTAATACGAGCTGAAATGACAGTAGCAAAAGATAAAAAGTACGATCGCTGTACGTAGAGCGTTAAATGCCAAGGATAATAAATGAGAAGGTTAAAAATTGTGATAAGTGCCGGTAAAAAGAAAAGAAGCTGTACTCACGTGTGACTATGATGCGTGCTTCAGTTACGTTTTAATTAATGAAAACTTCTTTGTTGACAAGTACCAGGAGAACACAAAGTTAGCTCAATAACTAGTGCCATTGTTTTCGGCCATCTTCACTAGACTGGCTACTAATCTGAGTCACGGACGCGACAATGATACATAAATGGGAATACTCATTGGCGAAACGAGAATCCAAATCATTCCATTTTTCATATGCAATTTCTTGTAATCATATTGTACGCGTATTTCCATTCAGAAAATATTAATGTATGAATACTACTAATCACCCATCTTCGCGTAATCCTTCTAAAAACACAACAATGAAAACAATATTAATAATTTGGTCATTTAAAATTTCCCTAGGCACGTATTGAAATATGTTTTTATTAATTTTTTCAATTGATATTAAAACAAATAAAACTAATAGTAAAACTCTCTTAAAATTTGCGTATGTGACATTTAAAAAAATGTTTATAACATAATAACTAATCTAATAGTAATAATATGCATTGAAAACGAGTCATAATATATAAACAAGATGAAACAAGATCAGCAACTCGTGATATGATAAATCTCGATAGCAGTTCTGTTCCTAGATAACACAGCGGCCAGCAGAATTTTTGTTCACTCCACTCTGTCATTACAGTAGACATTCGTTTCCTGCACTAGTCGGGGCATAGACATATATAGACGCAACATCAACTGAGCGCGGGAGTAAGATTCGCGGTAAGGGGGTAGTTAGTTATAAATCGGGTAACTTCGTTCCTTTTCGGTGCTATTCGGGTATACAATCACGTTACATACATGTATGCTATGAGAGATGAAAAGAATATACTTATTATACGTTAAAATTTCCGTATGTCATGTAGTTTGCATAGATATATGTATTTAACAAAATGAATAAATAGTATAAAACATTAAATAATAGTACAGCACACAGCCCACCAGCCATTAATAACGAGCCGAATCGAGCCGAATGCATCTGACCGCTGTCTTTTCCCCTCCAATCCTACGCGCTTTCCTCACCACTCAGCCGTTCAGTCGTGCGAATGTCTCTCTTCCGAGAAATGAGGGGTTGCTGGGATGATTTGAAACCAGTTTTCCCTTAGCGAAAATATTATCTGTGGATTTGTTAACGAGATATTAAAAAAACCCAGACCAATCAGAGCGCGAGTTTGCCAGCCGAGTTCCCGCGCTAGCGATGGCTACGCGCTATGCTTGTACTATGAAACTCCGAACAAGCAAGTTGGCATGCATCCCAGGAAATCGCGTATAATAGCAAATACAAAAAACATAAAAAATGGAACTTTTTATCATCTTTCATTTCTCATTTAAAGTGATGAATGAATGAAACATAAATGTAAGGAAATCATGTGTAACGTAAAACGACGAATACACAGTTATTTTTTAAACAGAATCTTTAAAAAGTCCGAAGAAAAATGTAGGTACGGTAACTTACAGAATTATTGCTGGGAAAAAGTCATATGTAGCTTGCGTTAAATTAAAAAATAATAATCAACAATAAATTGAATAGAACTCACTCTTCCGGAAATTCACCTGCAGCTTGCAGACCTGTGTCAGTAGCTCACTGTACCGATCCTGGTCATCGACGACCGAAACGGTTTATAGCAGGGTATCGCCCAGTCCGCAGGTGATCGCAGGTATACCTCACCAGCCGAAGTTAAGGGTTGTAACGTCAAGTGCGTCCGGGTTATTCCACCGAATACTTGTTCACTTTACTCCATGACCACTAACACTGATCAGCCGACACGATCACTTAATATATTTTTAATCGAACGTGTTGTTCCTACGTTAGGAAAATTGGTGGCCCCAAAACGAGCCGATTGTTTTCAATTTATCACATGTTTTACATAGCCAGACACTTGCACAGCAGCAGTCACATATCCGTTATTCTGTGCGTACCACCATAACATTGCGTAATATTCCCGTGAACTGAACATCTCTATCGCCCGATTGCTAACCGACTGACAGAATTTTTCCGAAAGGGCTTCCTCTACCCCCAAGTAGTTTCCCATCGTTACATTGTGAGTTCACTCCCACCACGACAAGATTTAGGTAAAAAGAAACCAACGGTTCTAGGATAACATGTGCTTTGCAGAAGTGCAAGGAAAGTACCGTCGCACAGTCTCACCAAGGCGCGTAGCTCGTTAATTTATTGCCAGGGTACCTACCGCTTCGAAATAGAAAACAGACATCACGTGCATCGGTTTGAGAATGTCCGAAATGAAGAGGACCACCAACGTGCCCGTTGCTTCGAGTTGGAAAGTACAATGTACATTGTTTTCCTCGAGGAGCAGGGAAAAAATTTTACCGACACGTGTAAGTTGACACTGTTTGGCCCTGGACGACCACCCTTGTAGAGGCCGGAGCGGAATTTTCGGTTATTTATGGCTCAAAATGTTCGGCCTCGTAGCAACCGTGAACTCACAACAGAATTGACAATCGACAATTTTATTACAACTCTATGAAATTGTAGTTCTCATGAAAACATTTCATACGTATTTTTTTTTAGTATTCTGTCAAATATCTCGGAAATTATTAGAAATATAAAAACCATACAATTTGTAATATTGTGTTTGTTTTGATATTGAATGTAGCTATATCATTAAATTCTAGAATAATCCCTTTCTTCAAACAATCTTTCGCCGACTCCTGACAGTGCGCGGTGCAGCTAAATCCAAAAAAAATACTACCGTATTCGTTAAACTCTTTTCCGTAAAATAAGCCTATCGGTAGGGTGATGCGGTTCATATTAACGGAGTAGTAACCTATTGAAGACAGCGGTGCGCCCCGGTGCAGGTAAAAGAACCGGGCGCTCCACTATTACAGTCGACTGACGGTATCGCTAACGCTCCAGACTATTTCAATGAGATGAAAAGCTATATCAAAGTGTCAATGATTTACGGAAAAAAGTTCTAGAACCGTTGGTTTTTTTTTACCTAAATCTTGTCGTAGTGGGAGTAAACTTACAATGTAACGATGGGAAACTAGTTGGGGGTAGAGGAAAAATTCTGTCAGTCGGTTAGCAATCGGGGACAGAGATGTTCAGTTCACGGGAATATTACGCAATGTTATGGTGGTACGTACAGAATAACGGATATGCGGGTGTTGCTGTGCAAGCGTTGGGCTACGTAAAACATGTGATAAATGGAAAACAAACGGAACGTTTCGAGGCCACCAATTTTCCTAACGTAGGAACAGCAGGTTCGATTAAAAATACATTAAGTGATCGTGTCGGCTGATCAGTTTTAGTGGTTGTGTAGTAAAGTGAATACGTATTCGGTGGAATAACCCGGACGCACTTGACGTTGCAACCCTTAACTTCGGCTGGTGAGGTATACCTGCGATCACCTGTGAATCTCGGCGATACCCTGCCATAAACCGTTTCAGCCGTCGATGACCAGGATCGGTTCAGTGACCTAGTGACACAGGTTTTCAAACTGCAGGTGAATTTCTGAAAGGGTGAGTTCTAATCAATTTATTGCTGATTATTATTTTCTTAATTTAACGCAAGCTATGGTTTATTTCCGGCGATAATTCTGCAAGTTTCTGTACCTAACTTTTTCTTCGGACTTTTTGAAGAGACTTATTTATTATCAGTGACATTGTTGACCGTTATTAAACTACGAATTTTTATACCAATACCGAATTACGATCACTTCTCGTTCATTCTCTGTTACATTACCTTTTCGTTCACAAGGTATTTGAAAAGGAAATTTACAAATTCGTAAAAAGGAATTTACAAAAAAGTGAATGTGCGTTCGTCTTTTTACGTTACACATAATTTGTCTATATTTACGTTTCATTCATTAATCTCTTTAAATAACAAACAGCAGATGATAAAAAGTATGATTTTATTTGTTACGTCTTTTTTATTTGCTATTATACGCAGTTTCCTGCGATGCATGCTGACCTACTTGTTTGGAGCTTCGTAGTACAAGCGTAGCGCGTAGCCACCGCTAGCGCGGAAACTCGGCTGGTAAACTCGCGCTCTGATTGGTCGCGGTTTTTCGTTAATATCTCGGTAACAAAGCCTCAGATTACATTGTTGCTAAGGAAAAAGTTGTTCCAATTCACCCCCGGAGTGCCCCATTTCCGGGTCGGAAGACATTTTTGGTACACCTTGTATAAAAAGACAATGACGTTGTCTAATTAGTGATGGGCATCATCGACTAAATTAAAGTATCGACTAATGACTATTTAGTTGCAACATACTATCAACTGAAATTTTGCTTTATAGGTTATGTATAGATTATGTCATCAATTTTTCAACACTATTGGTGTATTTACCTTGGAAATGTATTAGTTCATAGATAAAATTTCAAAAATATAAGTGGTAAACAAGTTTTTTTAAACAATTATTAATTTTCGATTTTTTGTAACCTATTTAATATTGGCAGTTAAAAAATTAACTACTCTAAATTTTTTATGAAAATTAATTTGGTTATAAACAATAATTTGCACAGTTCTCGGTAATGCATAAAAAAATATATGGAAAAATTACAATTGGTTTGCATCGCGAAGAGAATAATCAAGATCTAGTCAATAACGATTAATAGCTCGATAGTTCGTGCAAATCGCTTAGAACGATTAATTCAGTCGACTGAATGAGTTGCTTGAAGCGACTGGAAACCACTGGTTTCAAACCAGTGATGCCAGAATCGTGGGTAAACCGCGCGAGCGCTTACCCTCTCCATGCCTCCCGTGGGTATTTTACACAAGCATATGTAGCCTGTCCGTGTGAGCTCTGCCCCCACTACGTCCTACTCGGCGACTCACCAACCAAGCGTTTTCTACCTCTGTCCGTGTGCGCTCTGCTTCGGGTGGAAAACGCTTGGTTGGTGAGTCGCCGAGTAGGACGTAGTGGGGGCAGAGCTCACGGACAGGCTAGAATATGCTTGCGTAAAATACCCACGGGAGGCATGGAGAGGGTAAGCGCTCGCGCGAAAATCCCACGATTCTGGCATTAGTGCCCATACCCATGAGTATACAAAATACCTATTGTTCACTGAAAACGCTGCATAATGTCAGTGAGAACTATATAAATAATCATAGAGATTTGTGTGATTTCCTCAAAAAGCGACGTAATGCAGTCAATAATAGAATAAATTTACATATAAATATAATAATATTTCATTAATCCAGTAGCTGACTAAATTCTATAGTTGAGGAATATTTTAATCTGTTCTACGCGAACTATCTTTCATTATAAGTGTAAGGACCAAGAACAAACTATTTAGTTCTGTAAAGTTGTACATGATTTAGTTGTCATTTACTCGAGTTAACAATTAGCATATATGGGGCGCTGTGGAAGTTAGAGAGTGTTCAAGAGTGTTAAAGTGAATGCAATTCGAAACGGTTCCAATCGCAACTGAAATAGATTCTTACACATTTAGTACAGTAAATTCTCATTAGACAGTAAAATCAAAGTTTTTTACAAAATTTAAGTCGAAAGTACTAATTAAATCTTAAGGATCATTGATAATTTTACAGTACAATAATGGAAGATAATGGTACAACAATTATATACTATATAAACAACAGAAACGTCACATTGTAGAATTATGCTTGAAAATGTTTTTCCTGTTTTAGAAAATACTAAAACCGGAGGATCGATTGAAGTCGAACGAGAAAATGAAAATCATGAAAGTGAAGAGCCGGAAAAGATTCTTATCATAGATCCTGATAGTGAAGTTTGTTTTTATTATAATTCTTTTTAATATTAGTTTTCTATGTCTGTTAGCCCATTTGTTATGTTCATAATTATTTTCATTTACATTTTAGGAGTTAGATTTTAACCATTCAAGGTTAACGAATTTAGAGAATTTGGAACCATTGAGGAAGTTACGCAAATTGTGTTTAACATGGAATTTAATTAAAAAAATTGAAGGTCTTAATACTCTTACAACATTGGTTGAATTGGAATTGAGAGATAATCAGATCGTTGTTATAGAAAATTTAAATGCTCTTGCAAATTTAGAGTACGTAGTTTGTAGAATATAAAATTCGTCTTATAAAATAATATTACTAGTAAGTAAATGATCCAGTGATCTTATATTTTCTTCACATTTATAGGCTTTTAGATTTATCTTTTAATCGTATTATAAAAATAGAAGGATTAGAGAATTTATTAAACTTACAAAAATTATTTCTCTCATCTAATAAGATTCGATGTATCGAAAATTTGTCACATCTAAAGAATCTAACAACTCTTGAGTTAGGTGACAACAAAATACGAGAGATCTATAATCTTGAAGGTCTTGAGAATCTAACAAGCCTGTTCCTGGGTAAAAATAAAATTAAAAAAATTGAGAACTTAGGATGTTTAAAAAATCTTCAATTATTGAGTTTGCAAAGTAATCGTATTACACAAATAGAAAATTTGGAAGAGTTAATAAAACTAAATCAGTTATATCTGTCTGAAAATGGAATAACTGTCATAGAAGGACTGTCAAATTGTCCAAGACTAACTACATTAGATTTAGCAAACAACAAAATAAAGAAGATTCAAAATATTAACCATTTGGAGGACTTAGAAGAGCTTTGGGTAAGAATTTACATTCCTTTTAATCTTTATTGTATTTATGTGTCTGTACCTACAACTCTTTAACATATTTTACAGATTAATAACAATGAAATTGAAGATTGGACTAACATAGAGAATTTAACAGCCAATAAGAAGATAGAGACTGTTTATTTCGAACATAATCCGATTGCAGCAGATCTAAATTACAGAACAAAAATGAAATTATTGGTACCATGGCTCATCCAATTAGATGCAACTCTTTGCAGATAAATATTAAAATGTTACTAAATAGATTACTGTGCGACAGTAATCTAAGTTTATTAACTTTATTTGTTTGTTCAATTATTATTGTCAAAGATTATTTTTGCAAAAAGGAAATAGCAGAAATATATCTTGAATCTTAACAATGGAAGGTATGCTGTAATTCATGTTTCTTTACTAAGAAAAACATTCCTCCTTTTTACATCTAACATTACATTACTAGTCCTATTAATATTATTTGATAATAAACATTAATTATTATTTTAGTAATGAAAGAATGTAAAATTATAAAGATATTGAATCCATCCATACATATGATCATCTTAAATTTCAGTGCAACAGCAGATCTTGCAGAGGTTTTACTATATGTGTAAATTATTAACATTTTTATTAAACTGATTTTATACAATATTATACATATGTACTCCTATTAAAAAATGTTGAAACTTGGAATGTAATTAAGATTTCATATACAGGGTGTCCCATTTAAACATTTGCACACAATTATCTCCCAAATTATTCGTTATGAAACCGTTTTAAGCAGAACTTACTTTGTTTCTAGAGTGACATCTTATGATGGTCATAAATCTTATCTGGGTAGAGGTGCCCCCAAGATTTCGAGGTGTCCTCTGTTTTTTTTAAATGGTCCTCTGTTTTCATTTAGGTAGATGCGTAGCCTGTTCCGTGATGAATTAATTACCGTTCAAAATTTACGCAAGTACTATATAAGTAACCATGTTTACGACCGAATCGACGAAATTGTTCAATAAAAGAAATCTTAAGGACGTTCAATAAGGGTAGGTTTTGTATTGCAATAAATGACCTTGAAAGATCAATATATATGTTAATAAATTCGTAATGGATTGGGCTACACGTCTACCTAAATGAAAACATACAGAACCAGTTAAAAGATGAAGGTCATCTTGAAATCTCGGAGGCACGTCTATCAAAATAAGATTTACGACCATCATAAGATGTCCCCTAGAAAGAAAATAAGTACTACTTAAAAAATTTTTTGAAATAACGAATAATTCAGGACATAAATGTCTGCGAATGTTCAAATGGCACACTCTGATATACAGAGTGTATATCAGGGTCTACATATGTACGTGTTAAGTATCTTACACTCACAAATTAGTATTTGTCACAAAAGTGTATCATAAATTTTCTGCAAATGACGTAATTGTCATGATTTTATGGAAATAATAAACAATTTTATTAATGTTATTATGTATCAATCTCAATGTAACATAATGAATTGTTGTTTAAAACAAAAAGTGACGGACTTTTGAATTGACTCTGCCTCTTAATAATATTACAGTTTTTAATCTGAAAAATATAAAATATATATTGTTTGCGTATGTAATAACTTCATCGGTGTACGCTATTGGTGATACACGCTAAATAAAATTAGGAAAAAGTAACAAATTTGGAAACATAATGAATCAGTACTTCTTAATTACTTAGAACGAGAATCCGCACATTATGAGTTGCAGACCATTTTTTTTTTTTTTTTTGACTGGGCGAAAACCTTGCAAAGGCGATACCGCCTCCGCTGGGGGTGGTAGGTGCGATTTTTACCGCCTTAAGAACCCTCCGGTGACTCTCGGGCGTAAGGACCGGCCACGGGAGTGCCGAAGCACACCTCCGCGACTGGCCCCGATGAGTTGCAGACCAGCTGACCATTTTTTTTTGTTAACGGGGCGAAAACCTTGGTGAAGGTGCACCGCCTCCACTAGGGTCGGAGACGACCAATGCGGGGTTTCACCCGCCAAAAACCCCCCGGTGACCCTCAGGCAAAGGGGCTGGTAATGGGAACGCTCAGCATGACCGCGACCAGCCCTGCCCATTGCCCACCCCTACAAATGTTTAAGGGGAGGGCTCTTCCTGGGGGAGGGGGGTAGCGATTGCTTCCTACCTACAGCGCCGAGGGGTCACCTCTCGACGCTGTTCTCTCGTGGGCCGACCGCGAAAGGAGGTGATACCCCCAGTACCACCCCCTTGGCTCGGTTGCCCCGCGGGCGACGCGAGGGTTATCGCGGCTGTAACCCTATGAACCGCGCCACCCGCGGGGCAAGCACACTAGCTAACCATTTTGTTTTTTTTTTTTTTTTTTTTTTTTTTTTTT